ACTCACTGCATGTCCACTAAATTCCATACATCAATGGTATTGTAACAGAAAGGGTTTTCTCTCCACCAGTTGCTATAAACGATACAAAATTATATATTAGTTTAATCAGCTCAAAAATGATTTCTATAAGTACTCAGAAAAGTAATAATTAACTAGATTACTAATAAACTATATAAAAACTTTGTAAAGTGTAACTTTTATAAAACTTGTTTAATGTTACAAATTATGCCCAAGTTAATATACTTTCAAAAACATAAACTTCCATCAATAACACATAAAACATCTATATACTCACATTTCAAGAGCTAAACAATCCGTTTTCTCTTTCTTGCGTTTCAAAGCATGCTTTGTTCAAATGTTGCAAGTGATAAATTGTGACCACTCCGAATTTACCAAACAGAACTAATAACGATGCCCGTTTCCTAGGAAACCGGCCAGTCACCCGCTGTGCAAGTGGATTTCAACACTGACCTAATTATCTGAAGCTCTAAAATTCAGCACTTTAAGTTCCATGGTGCTAAATATAGAATCTCCAAAATATTATTATGTGCAGAATAAAACTTCTACATATATATCATGCATAATATATTTGCAATGGTCTTGAATAATAATAACATATAAGAATCATCAAAAGTACATCATATGGTTTTCATAAATAAGGTTTTGGAATAATATTTTGGCTTTTTTTAGATGATAATCAATGCATGAACTATTAAGATTAATTCATCCTTACATAACTTTTTAATAAAATTGAGCTGTCTCTATTTAAAGAAGCTTAAAGTAGGTGGTTCTGAAGTATACAAATTTAAAAAATATGTGCGTAATGAACATATCACCTACATGTACCTATTTATTTTTTTCCCCCTATTTTCACATGGTTGGACCAACGCTGGGCCAACGTTCAAAGCCCAATCAATGCCTGATTATAATCAAAATTCACTTCATTTTGCCAACATTGGACAGAAGATTACATGCCCAACACACATTGGCCATGTTTTATGTCGCCATTACTTGGTTGATGCTATGTTCGGCCAACATTATGGATCTCCAGTCGCAATGGTTTTAATTTATGCCAATATCTACTCGGTCGGACCTACGCTGGGCCAACGTCGAATTCCCAACATACAGTGGCCACATTTCATGGCAACATTAATTACATTGGGCCAACATTGGACCGATAATTACATACCCAACACACATTGGCCATGTTTCATGTCAACATTACTTGGTTGGCCCTAAGATGGGCCAACATTATACATCCCAACACGCAATGGTCTTAATTTATGTCAACGTCTACTCAGTCGGACCTACGGTGGGCCAACATCGAATTCCCAATATAAAGTTGCCATATTTCATGCCAACATTTACTACAATGGGCCAACATCAGCATCACAAAGCACCGACGGACCGGCTTTCTGCCAACATATCATTTGTTGGGCCAACGTTGGACCAACATTAACAGCCCAACACCAACACTATACCAACCTACCAACCATCAACCAACGTTGGCCCGATGTAGTCTTGCTATCTGGGTTGTCAGTGAATTGGTCTCTAACCAGGGCCATTTTGTGGAGTTAGTGAACCTATTTCTTTATACTAGAGTATACTTTTGTACTTTTGAACTTTCATTTGTAAAAATCTTTTTTAAGAATCGTTAAAATTAAGAACAATTTTTTTTCCTTACATATAAAAGCACTGAGAAAAAATATAAACATACATGACATAACTTTCACATTTCGGTCTTTTTTCTATACTGGATGTGTACATTCGACCATGAAACTTTCAAATCACGTTTATATGAAGAACTGTCGAGATTATTTTCCGTCACTTATGACAGAAGTACGTGTAATTCATCTTTTATTTATGTCAACTGTCGAAAAAATAAGAATGAAACTCCATTTGTTTATCAACAAGCATAATGATATTTGTGTTCTCGCAAATTGATTCTGGTTTCATCTGAAAAGTTCCAACTACCGGTATAATTATACGTATACTATAGTTTTGACCTTGGAGTTTGACCAAACTTGACAAAAGAAATTTCCGAACTTTAATCTTGGCCATAACTTTTGATTAGCTGGTGCTGAGGTTTTCATACTTCTCATGTGTATTCATTGTGATATGGCACGCCAAATTCATAAAAATGAGCTAAACATAATTTCACAGTTGATAAACTAGGTTTATCGACTGTTTACAAACCGTGAACTTTAGTTAACAATTCGTTAACTATAGTTTTCATCTGTAAAACTACGGAAGCCCGTTGGTGCCATGTATGAAAAATATTTTATCTGGCGGCCGCCATTTATTAATTGGCGGCCGCCACATATATATCTGGCGGCCGCTACTTATTATTTGGCGGCCGCCACATATATATCTGGCGGCCGCCACTTATTATTTGGCGGCCGCCACTTAATTATCTGGCGGCCGCCACTTAATTTATATGGCGGCCGCCACATAAATTATTTTGCAAAAGGTGAGTGTTATTGGGTTAAGAAGATGGATGTTGACAAAACCGCTGCTTATTGATAAAAAAGTAAATGATAAAAAACGAATTCTGAAATATTGGAACACCATTCTTGGAAATCCAAAATGCAAAACTTCATTTAATTCTCAACCAATCATAGCGTACAGCAAACACCATGATTTATGTCCGTGACCCTTGATGAGGCTTCTTAATAATCGAAACACTCTACAAATACTTGCATAATTCAAATCAAATATTAATCTACTCTATGCAAAAACATATCTATTAGAAAAGTGTTGGTTCATAATAAATCTCTTACAAGTTTGGTTGATTGATGTTGCTATTATAATTTTTACACTGTATCCACCTCTTAAACCACAAATTAAAACATGCGAGCGATTCAGGAAGCCAGGTGTTATCTGGCGGCCGCCATATAAATTATGTGGCGGCCGCCAAATATTATGTAGCGGCCGCCAGATATATAAGTGGCGGCCGCCAGATAAATATTTGGCGGCCGCCAGTTAAATAAGTGGCGGCCGCCAGATAAATCATGTGGCGACCGCCAAATAATAAGTGGCGGCCGCCAGATGTTATATAGCGGCCGCCAGATAAATTTTTTGGCGGCCGCCAGATATTATATAGCGGCCGCCAGAAAAATATGTGGCGGCCGCCAGAAAAATATGTGGCGGCCGCCAGAAAAACTATGTGGCGGCCGCCATATATTAAGTGGCGGCCGCCAAATAATAAGTGGCGACCGCCACATAATTATGTGGCGGCCGCCAGATATACAAGTGGCGGCCGCCAGATAAAATATTTTTCGTACGTGGCACCAATGGGCTTCCGTATAAAACTATATTTAACGGTTGTTAACTATAGTTTACGAATGCTAATCTAATTTAATCTGTTTGTAATAAAACTTAACAATAGATTTTGTTGATAAACATAGATTCACGTCTGTAAACTATAATTTACAATCGTGAACTACAGTTAAGAGTTGTTAATCATAGTTTCACAAATCGTGAAACTTTATTTATCAGATCGTTAACTATAGTTAAGAGTTATAAACCATAGTTTACAAATTATGAAACTGCATTTAGCAGATAATTAATCTATGTTTTGCAATCGCAAATGATTGTTTTAAGTGTTAAGTATAGTTTACGGTTCTGAAACATAGATTATCGCGTTAACCATGGTTTACAGATGTAAAATATATAGATTAACTTTGTTAACTATAGTTTACAGTCCGTAAACTATAGTTTACAACCGATAAACCTAGTTTATCGACTGTGAAACTATGTTTAGATCATTTTTTGTGAATTTGGCGTGCCATACATATAAATATTTTTGACCTGATGACCTTGACCTTAGAGATATATCCACTTAAAAAAACCCTTTAACCTTGACCATAACATTTTAACAGTTAGTACCATGGCTTTCATATTTCACAGATGTATCCCTTGTGACAAGACCTTTCTTAGGATACGTATAATTTTTGTTTTACCTTTTGACCTAGATCTTGGAGTTTGACTTGCATTTGAGAAACTTTAATCCTCGTCATAAGCTGCCATACTGGGGTATCAGTGTTTCACAAACACATCCTATTTAATGAAGCATTTAAGGTTTTCATCAAAGACAGCCATCTCTATATATAGACATGTGCTGCTCTATGCCCTATGTCTTTGTACCTGAAGGTATGTTGCTGCATAAATAAGGGAAGTTGACGATTGAAAAGTCTAAGTCGTCACGTTAATCATTGAGCTTTGTTGTTAGATTACCATTAATGTCTTTTTCTGGTAAAATATCTAAATATGGAACAGATGTGTCAGACTCTGGGATATCTTTCATCTCAAGCTCACCGGGATATATCGTATCGACATAAGAATGGAAATAACCATTGTTAATTGACAGTACGTCGTCGATATATCTAAATGTCGAGTTGAAGGCCAGGGCAAGTGTTTCCTTCTTTTCATCATACAAGATTCTGGACAAAATTTGCTTCATAGGGCTAGATCTGCAAATAACGGGGTACGATTGGTACCCATGGGAATTTCAATAGATTGATGGAAGACATCGTCTCCCAAAAAAAACAAAAACAAAACACACACAGATGCTGTCAATCAGAAACTCAGTCATCTTCTTGATGTCAACTTCAGAGTACTTAATTGTGTGTATAATCAGAATGTTTTTAACAAAATAATTTTGCAAATGACTAATGATATGGTAATTCAAATTCGTTTTTATTGTTTGGAATATTAAAAATATTCCAAACTGACATATGCTAAGATTCCATTTTTTGAAAACTTTACTTTCATTTAAATGTTGATGACGAATAGAATTTTACTCAGGTATATTTTTTGTTCTTAACCATTTTTCCACTAAATATGTTCCGTTGATGCTTAAAACACATCTATTAAAAATAATAAAAAGGGGGAGGACATAATTAATAACAAAGTTTGATATATTTCATTTTTCTTTTAAAAGAATAATCCGATTGTCCTCGCCTTGAATCTCCATCACTGAATACGGTGATGGATACGAGTCATTCTACGTACGACAGAAGTAATAGCTAAAAAAAAAATGGCAGATCCGGGCGACATTTTCGGTAGCGGAGCCGAAAGTGATGAAGGTTTGCTGTTTAAAAGTTGTTGATATATGATTTATATTTGATTATGCTATTGATAATCCATGTTCTACATTTTAGAACTATAATAATCGTCATCAAGTTTTCAATGTCGATAAATATTAGATGTGTCTTTGTTACTAATCTGAGAAAATTCGAACTGAAAATTTAATTTCTATATACTGATACTGAACGCAGGACCTATATACTAACTTAGTATATAGGTCCCTGCTTAACGCAAGCATTATAGTAGTTTTTCTTTAAATGGTATTCGTCTTGTCTGAACCCATAACTATATATTTAATATGTTTTACGGTGTGACCGTTGGGGCGAGCGCAGTTTATTTACTATCATAAACCTACACATGTACTGTCTATCATTCAAGAAAAAGAACGCAAAAAGAATAAAACAAAACAATAAAAAGAAATCATTTCCCAAGCATCGGGATCGAGATTCCAAACTTCTCGGAAGTTTCCGACGAAATCGGAAATACCCGAACCGTTGAAGTGACGAAAGTATGACGTCAGATAAAAAGTCCTGTTGACTTTGGACGCAAACGATAGTTTTATGGCATGGAGATTGCATTAAATCGTTCCTTTCAAGTAAGTTGTTGCTGTGTTTTAGCCACCATGTTGCTATGCACCGCAACATGTTTTCGGAGTTTCACGGAAGCAACCGACATAACTTCGTCAAAATTCGTAAGTTTCCGATGACGTCATTTGTATCATTTCCGAAGGGCAAGGTGAAGGCCGGTGTTGTGGCATGGGGGTATTTTTTTAAGGCAAAATCATTTCGTTAAGATTTCGGTAAGAAACAATGTTCCTTTAATTTTTTTTTACTATTTTTGATTTATTCGCGCAAAGGACATTGGGTAGTGCAGGAATTCTGGGAATGTTGCACAGAGAAATTTGGCTGACGTATTAGAGATTTCAATCCGAATTTCCTCTGTTCATACACGTTAGTCTATTGAGCTCGCTGCGCTCGCTAATATTTATGTATTTAAACACAGGTGATTGGCACGATTGTCTTCTTTCTATTTGATAGACTAATCCTGCACTGAGTATTTCATAGTGTATGGGTGGTCCAGATAAATCGTGAAGAGACCCTGTGACTCAGTTCTCATTAAGTGGAATATATTCCCTCAGTTTAACTGTATTGCTTTATTTAGCTTTATAACTTTATTAAACTCTTCAGAATTTCAACACACCATGTAGAAATTTTCATTTATATTCTTATTAGAAAAAACAAAAAAATTGTACTACAAACCATCTGTGGACTATTGAAAAAAGTAATTCAAATCGAACATTATTCAAATGGATAATGGAATGCTTTGTGCCTAAGCATTGTTTACCTTAGTATTTTTGTAATCCGAGATTCCTCTGACTCTAACCCCTGCTTTTATATTGTGACTTGTGCAGGGGAGAGTCAGAGCGGAGGCCATATTGAAAAGTGGGAATTCCACGATACCAGTTTTTGTCGCAACTCTGCCTACCTTTTACAACTTTATTCCGCGGAGCTTACTCCCAAGACGTGAGGAATCAGTAAAACAATTATTCTCCTACTTGTTAATCGTCATTAATATGATGCTTTCGCCGTTTAAACGATCCTATCACTGACAAATGAAGCATCACTTGAATTAGGTCGCCTCCTCCCCATTCTACTTCTTTGCACATGACGTCAGCACACAAATACACAAAATTCCAATCGGTTTGAATGTAACACGTGCTCAAAACCTGTGTGGACCTTCGGAAAAATATGAAAGTGTTGTGAAAAAATACATAAAACAGCATAATGTTTCATTTATTTATTGATAAGGAAAGCAACTATCAAAAACGACTTTTATGCTAATATGAGGATATTTTCACGTAATAGTTTGTTTGTGTATTTGTGTGTGACGTCATGCGCAAAGAAGTCAAATGGCAAGGAGGCGACATAATTCAAGTGATGCTTCATTTGTCAGTGATAAGGTCGTTTAAACAGCGAAAGCATCATATTAATGACGATAAACAAGTAGGAGAATAATTGTTTTACTGATTTCTCGCGTCTCGGGAGTTAGCTCCGCGAAATAAATTTGTAAAAGGTAGGCAGAGTTGCGACACCAACTGGTATCGCGGAATTCCCACTTTTCAGTATGGTCTCCGCTCTGACTCTCCCCTGCACAAGTCACAATGTAAAAGCAGGGATTAGAGTCAGAGGAATCTCGGATTAGTATTTTTGGTGATATCATTTCTGAAATAGACTGAAAAGAGCAGATGATGTGCACTTGTTTTACTGTTATTGACTTTTGCGTTAACTACCAGTACTAAATCAGAACTCTTCTAGAATTTGTGAAAAAGTACATTGTTTCTTATTATACGAAATGTATTTCAGAGCTGCCAACCCTTACGATTTTGGAGTAAGGCTGATGAAAGTAGCGTCTAACATATGCCTTACGATTTCTCTTCATACTCTTCCAATTTCAGTTTTTCTTGATCAAAGTTTATTACTTTATGATATCGGAATTTTCATATCTGGCTGTCTACAGTTTTTACTATTATAATTAAATATTTATAATCCTTACAACGCTTGCTTGTATTGTCGTTTTAGAAGGCTGACCATAGTCATGTTAATGTTTAAAAGTGAACAAAATGGAAATATGCCTCAAATTGCTCCGATTGCATGTTCATTTACATAACATCAACAGCGGCAAGGGGTCTAGGCAGTCCCTGGACCCCGCCTTACTATTTTTCATTTCAGAATGTTGGCAGCTCTGGTATTTTACTTTTAAATTGAAGAGCTATTGACAGATCACACACATGAAAAAGAAGGTTGACTGCAAGAATTCATTCAATCAGAATGCAGTACTTAATGGATCTAGTTTTCATAAAATAAATTTTTCTTATATTCTGTTTTTATTTACTACTAAAAAAAAAGAGTAATCTTTGTTGATTGAATTCACAGAAAGTCATGGATCTAGATCTGGTAGTGGAAGCCCAGGGAGTCACCATTCAGGAAGTCCAACTGGCAGTCCTGCGGGATCAGGAAGTCCTCCTGGCAGTCCTGCGGGATCAGGAAGTCCTCCTGGCAGTCCTGCAGGATCAGGAAGTCCGGCTCACAGTGGCTCACCACAGAGAAGTGGATCTGGATCCCCACCTAACAGTCCTGGATCCCCAGCCAGTCATCGCTCAGGAACTCCAGACAGGAGTCAGTCTGTAACTCCAGCAGGCTCACCAGCATCACACAGGTATAGCATTACACACACACAGGTATAGAATTACACACAGGTATAGCATTACACATAGAAAGAAGGAGTAAACTAGTAGAATCTCAACAATAAACAGTTTGTCAAATTAATGATATGTAAACATTATTGTATTTAAATTAGTGTAAAATTGGCAATTTTTTGCAATTCATAAACAGCAGTAACTAACATGTAATGTCCTCAAATACGCTTTAGGTCAGGTTCACCGGCTCAATCAGGTAGCCCAAGAAGTAGGTCAGGAAGCCCTGTTAGAAGCAGGTCAGTGTCCCCAGCAAGAAGTGGATCAGGATCACCAGCAAGGAGTGGGTCAGGAAGTCCAGCCAGAAGTGGGTCAGGAAGTCCTAGAAGTAGGTCAAGGTCCCCAGCAAGAAGCGGGTCAGGTTCACCAGCAAGAAGTAGGTCAGGTAGTCCAAGAAGTAGGTCAGGGAGTCCAAGAAGTAGGTCAGGGAGTCCAAGAAGTAGGTCGGGTTCCCCAGCAAGAAGCAGGTCTGGCACTCCAGTTGCCAGAAGCAGGTCAGGAAGTCCAAGAAGTAGGTCAGGGAGTCCAAGGAGTAGGTCGGGGAGTCCAGCTAGAAGTGGGTCTGGATCTCCAGCCAGAAGCAGATCTGGCAGTCCAGCTAGGAGTAGATCCAGGAGCCGATCACGGAGTCCAGGTAAACTGGACTTTATTTTATAATGGTTAAAATTTCTCTGTTGTGTTGAATATTTTGTTTGTAATTAAATTTTATTGTACTAATGATTCACAAAATACTGGCGTAAACTTTTAATATTGAGGAATTTGACCAATTTTTGACAGGGAGGGGCTCAGGAAGTGACAGTGGGTCAGACATTGGAAGAAAGAAGAAAAAAAAGAAGGTGGGCTCTGGGTCAGACTCAGATGATGATATGGGAGGTAAGTTGTATGAGAAGGCATCAATTGAAAATATGTTTATTTGCCCGTCTCCATTTTTAACTCACAATTTTAGTCTTGGTAAATATGCCTATCAATTTTTTTATACCCCCGCAAACGAAGTTTAGGGGGGTATATTGGAATCACCATGTCCATCTGTCCGTCTGTCTGTCTGTCTGTAGACAAGATTTTGTCCGGACCGTTTCTCAGAAACTATTGGATGGATTTGTCTGAAAATTTGTACACTCATTATTCACCATATGAAGGTGTGCACCTGGTATTTTCATCATGATTGGATGATTTTTCTGCATTTTACAGGCATTTTTTCTTTTTTATTTTGTTGTTTTGTTTGGCTCATAACTAGAAAACTATTAGACTAGCAATCATCAAACTTGGCCAATTTATGCATCTTGGGTAGAAGGTGTGTCATGACCTATTTCAAGGTCACTGTGACCTTTAATTAAAGTGAAATTTAAAAAAATAGCTGTCTTTTACTATTGAATTAAACAATCCCTAAAAATGTAAGAATGTTGCAATATCCCTATTTAAAACATGTTAAATTAAGAAAATATTTTTTTATGGCGTCGGGCTTGCCCAATCGTCATCTAGCGATCAGTCAGGTTTACGCGACCGCACGTGTCAGTGGATGCATCCGCAATAGAAAATAGCAACAGCTGTAAACCAATTTCTTTTAAAACGTTCACAATGAATAATAGCTTGAATATAAAATTAAATCAATTGTATCTTCAATTAATACTACTACAAAACAACAATATTATGTTTAATTTTTACGCATGAAAAACGTTATGGTTGTTGCGGATGAATTTCTACTGAGAGGGTGTGTCGAATGACATGAATCACATTTGGGACCGATTACTGTAATACAAACAATCTTAAATACGGTAAAATAATTACAAAATAAACACGAATACAACAAGACTATAAAGATTGAATTTCTTAATCTTAGCTTTACTTTCAGGATCTTCAATCCAGTTTTAGCCGAACAACCTACGATATTGACCAGTAATGCCAGTATTACTGTATTTATCTATTTCCTCCATTTGTTTACCGCGCCTTATCGTAAGTCGATCGTACTTGTAACATTAGAGTCATGGTTGTAGTTAAGATGCAATCACTATACAACAGAACAACACTCTGACAATGGCAATTAATAATTAAAATAATTTATGAAACCCTTCATATGTCTTCGACTGACTGAAAAGAAATTAGATTGATATAGAGAGGATGGACATTTCTGACGATGTCTCGTCAATTCGAACCCTGACTCATTCGGACCAGGACACAAGGCTATCAGGCCCTATACTGTATATGTGTTAAGACTATTTTTTTTTAATTTTATTATGTTACTGGAGTCACTCACTTGACCTATTTGCAGATCTTTTGAAATTGTTTTTCTTGTTCGACGCCATTGAAGCCTTTCAGGCTTTTGATTTTATTATATACTTTACAGCAATCCATAACAAATATTATTTTATAAGAGAAAATCTACCTCTCCCAAGGGTATAATTATGAAGCACTGGTCAAGGAGAATTTTGATAACAGAAAATTGCATGTCAAATTAGAGAGAAATTAATTAGTTTAGTGTAAGGAGCTAACTTGTAGAACGTTTCTGATTAAGAACTTGTTATCTGTCTCTTGGGAACTGGGCTAAGGAATCAGCCTTAAATAGTTTTAGTGACTAGCCTAACTTATATAACGAATTTGAGAAAAAGCAACTTCAATCAAATTTGATATTGTATAATAAACTAATTTGAAATTGTATAAAAAACTTAATTGATATTGTATAATATAATTAAAACTAATTATATTGTGTGTGTATGTGGGGGTGGGGTGGGGGGATTGGAGTCAGCATGCTCATTCTCCACATTAATTTCAGATTGAAACTTTTAGTATGATATAAAATCCAAATAAATCAAGTATTTAAAAAAAATAAATTTTGGTAGATAGTCCCTACAAATCTTGAGAATCATGCAGGAACTTTATTCAAAATGATGTATCAAGATTACACAATTTTTTTTTCAGTATAAATCTTTGTAACAAATTTATACAAAATCTTTGTTTTCAGATTTAATTTCAGCATTTTGTTTGCACTACAAAGGAGAAGGTTAAGATCCATTCATCCCTTGATAGCAATTAGTGGGCATACATCCAGTCAAAGATTAATTAATGAGTTCTCTGTAGGGAAGCTTAAGCTGTCTCAATCATTTCTGTTAGAGCATATCTCTGACCAAGGAGCTCTTATCTGTGTCCTTTGGGAATTAGACAGAAGAACTGCTGGTCAGTCATTTGTCATTTGATGGCCAGTCTCTTATTTAACTTTTTTTAAAATTGCACGGTAATATCAGAGTAATATATATCTCTAAAATCAATTTGGTATAGATCAAGTTTTTAAGACATATTAGTTAAATTGAAATACCGGGGTATGTATATATTTTTTTGAAAATATCAAGTGACCAATTTCAGATCATCATGTCCCACATGAAAGATGTGCATATGTGTATGTTTATGGAGGAGGGGCATTTGTCAAGCTATAATGCAACCAGTTGATGATTATTTGTTACAATTAAAGCTTGCAACACAGGAGATGTTTAAACAATTATTATAATGAATGGAAAAATTACGCAAAAAAAGGTTGACATGATTTTCTTGCACTCTAAACTGTTTATAATAATTGAATGAACAATATTTGATTGGAGTATCATGCTGAGGCTGACTGCACTTTATTATTTTTAAAATGAATTTAGATATTAATTTATATAGATTAATATGATTCTGTATAATGTTTTTTCAACAATCAATTTGCAGAGTATCATGACAAATAGTTGCAATTCATTTTTTCAATGAAATAAAAAAAACTGTTACAATGTATTAGTATGATGGTTTATTTGGTTGCACCTCAATTTCATTAATTAAAAAAATATATATAATGAGCACTCAAATTGTTTCTAAGAAAATAGTGAACACCTCTTAATAGATCCATAAATATTTGTGAATTTGCACCTACTCTGAAAAACCCAGCAGGGGTATTTGTCCCTATTGGACAATTCTAGTTCTTGATTGAATTTAACACATTGTACAAGAATATTTAAAAAAAAAAAACAAATAGAAACGAACAAAAATATATATTTATTTTGAAATATTGTAGTTGATTACTTTTTTATTTTGAAAACAGTCATGAATTTTTAAAATTTATTTGTCATATGTAATAATGGAACATTTTGTTGTTGAAAAAAATTATGAAATTTTTCTTTTACAATTTGCTGTTCATACATGCACATAATGAATACACATAATTCTCTAAAATAATTTTACATCACAAACTCAAGCCCTAATACAACAATAATATCGCTTTAGTCTTACATCCAGTGTACATGTTAGCCTTTGTTTACAGCCACAGTGGGGAACCTGTTTGGGGATGCTGATGACATCAGCTCAGATGAGGAAGACAAGGCCAAGAAATCAGACGCCGAGGAGGAAGGGGAAAAATCTGACCAAGAAAGACAGGTGCCCCTTATAACCTGTTACCTGTGAACTGTTACATGACTGTAAAACATATTTTGTCAAAATTTATATTTCTGTCAAGAGTTATATACTTCATGTAAAGCATAATTTATTTGGTGTCCCTGTTTCAAAAACAAGTTTGTTGAATCCATTTATTTAGAACTTAATTTCTTCTTATGGACACCGATGCATTGACATCTAGAATCTATTTAATTTCTTGTACTGTTTCTGATGCTATGACTTGTATTATTACCAGGGTCCTGTTATAGATGATGAGGATGAGGAGCAGGCAGAAGAAGAGGTTCCAGAGACGAGGATTGAGGTAGAAATTCCTCGAATCATGACAAACCTCGGGAAAATTCTACACTATGTCAAACTGCCAAACTTCCTCAGTGTGGAAACAAGGTAAGGGCAACAACTCTGACAACAGTGAATTTCAGACCACTGGGAAACCTTTACATTTTCAGGAGTTACTTTTCATGCTATTATTTTCAGACCCTATGATAACCAGACTTATGAAGACGAAATTGATGAAGATGAAGTTTTAGATGAAGAAGGCAGAGCTCGTCTTAAACTTAAGGTCTGTTGTAAAATGATACACTGTATATCAATATTTTTGATGAAACAATCTGTTGTGATGAGTAGAAATTCTTTTTAAAAAAAACCTCAAATTTTCTCTTGATTTTTTGAATCGGATGAACAGGTAGAGAACACAATTCGCTGGAGAAAGAAGTTAAATGAAGACGGTACAGAGGCTGTAGATGAACTGGGGAACCCAGTACGGGAAAGTAACGCTCGTGTAGTCCGCTGGTCAGATGGCAGGTCAGAATTTCCTCTGTCTTCCTGTTCAGTAGAAGTTTAAACTAAATATATGAAGACTGACTCTTAGTTACTGTAGATGAACATGTTTCTGCAAGGAATTAATGTATGCAAAGTACACACCTAAATTTATTTTTGGTCAGTGCTTACTATAAATGCATTTAAGTCCATCCTCTTTAATAGTACACAAGAAATCTGTGTAACATTATGCCCACAAATGAAGCCAGCATTCTGACTATGCATAATTATTACCCTATGGAGAAAAAAACATATAGTATTCTTCTTTATAGACTAAATTAACTTTTAAAACTGTTCTTTGTATGTACATAAATTTTGTATATGTTACAATGAGGGACATTTGAAAGTTGAGTATTTAGATTTGACTGTGAGATACACTCAGTTTGACTGAATGACTGTATTGTAAATTTCTTTTGTTTGCAGCATGTCCCTCCACTTGGGTGATGAAATCTTTGATGTCCACACAATGCCAATACAGGGAGACTTCAATCACTTGTTTGTACGACAAGGAACGGGGTTACAGGGACAGAACATCTTTAAAACCAAACTGGCATTCAGGTGACGATCTCACTGCAGTTAATAATACTGACAGTTTTCTGTTGTATTTGAAACTGAGTCTAACTAAAATGTCTCAGTATTATTCTGAAGTCTTTTGTACAAAAAATGTATTACTTAGGTTATCTCAACTTAGCATTAAAAGAATGATAATGGAATATATTTTAGCTATGAGTCAGATCTTACAATTTTCATTTTTAAAATATGCAATATATATATATTGAATTTGTATTTTCTATATAGGCCACATTCAACAGAATCCTTTACCCACAGAAAGATGACCTTGTCTTTAGCAGACAGGTCAACCAAAGCTCAGAAGGTCAAGGTCCTTCCCATTTCAGGTCGTGATCCTGATGCACACAGAAGTGAAATGATCAAGGTACTATAATTATAACATTTCCCAAACTCTACAGAATTGACATATATTGGAATATATTCAGATTACATGTGCACAGCTTAACTTTATACAGATTTACTCCTTGTGTACAGATTAAAGAGGAACGTGATTCCTAAAAGGAATTTGTCCTCCATATTGATTAGGGCCCCGCAAGGATTTGCGGGTGCCCTATAGTAATCACTGTCTGTCCGTCCGTCCGTCCGTCCGTCTGTCTGTCTGTCTGTCTGTCTGTCCGTCTGTCACTCTTCCGTCCACAAATTTTCTGTTTTTTTCTAATAACTTTTTTTATGGTTGCCCAATCAAGTTCAAATTTTGTATGGTAGCTCAGTAGGCAGAAATACATATTTTTATGCTAAGTTTGGTTCTCTGTGTTTTCTGGTTAAGAGCTGGGGTGGTGGGGTAGATTCCTTAATTATGCATAAGAATGAATGGGCAACTTTTTTTATGGTTGCCCAATCAAGTGCTAATTTGGTACAGTAGTTCAGTAGGCAGAAATACATATTATGATGCAAAGTTTGGTTCTCTGTGTCCCATGGTTTGGAGCTGGGGTAGTGGGGTAGATTCCTTAACTTTAAATAAGAATGCATCAGCAAAGAGAGATAATTGCTGAAGATGTTCGCATTGTAAACTGAAATCATGCAAGGAGTCCCTTGGGATTAATTAGCTTTCCTCCTGAAGAAAATCCAGAGCATTATCTTTATCTGTCACATTGAGATTAATTACCACCTCTGTCTGCAAATGAAGTTTGTTTTGAAGTTAAATCAATTTGGAATGCTATGAACACTCTGAAATGTGGATTTTAATATAAATTTTTATAATTTATTTTTGTTTGATATTTATGATTTCATTGAATTCTAAAAAAAAAAAGAAATAGATTAAAGAAGATTTTTTGATTTACTTCTTTTCACTTTTTTCACTTTTTTATTTTAAAATTAGTTCAAGAATACATGTATAATTAATTTTTAATGTAGTTGTATAAAAACCCAATTCTATCATTAACACTGAAAAAGTTCTTATTGTAAATTTAGAAGAAAGTGATGAGAGAGGTACAATTAATCCCTTGGGATTAATTATCTAGCCTGCTGCAGAAAATTAAGTAGGCTTTTCTTTATCTGTCACTTTAAAATTAATGAAAACCTTTGTCTGCAACTGCTGTTTGTTTGAAGTTAAGGTCAAGCCTTCATGATATTTGCATTCATTGAACACAAAGCTTCATAATTGTTTAAATATACATTCAATGTTGTTTTTTACTGCCTAATGTAAATAAAAGAATATTATTTTCAAGTTTTTGAATATTCAGGAATTATCTTTAAATTTTAAGAATACAGTTGCTGTTGCTTATTCTTCGTACATTTATTAATCATTCTGTAAGCTGCACCCTTTTAATTCCACCCCATGGCGGGGCCCTTGCTGACTGGTCAGTTTTCTAGTTTATTCAGTCATTATATTGGAGGGACATATAAGTACATTACCGATAATTTCTCAATTTCGTATCTCTACATCACACAATAAATATCTCCCTTTAATTCTGATGGAGTTTAAAATCAAGGCTGAAAGAAATCAAATATCAATCTCTATTTAAGTGATTAGAAGTTACTGCCCTTTGTTCCTGATATGTAAAGAAATGGTAAATTTTATTATAGAAAGAGGAAGAAAAGCTTCGAGCCTCCATACGAAGGGAAAGTACAAGGAGGCGAATGAAAGAGAGAAGTCAGCATCGCGGTCTGAATGCTCGATATCTAGAGGATGGGGAGGACGATGATGAGGGAGGCGTGTCGCTCAACGAGCTGAAAAAAGAGTATAAACAGAAACGGGGTAAGTTTAAGGAGCTGAAAAAGGAATATAAACAGAAACGGGGTAAGTGTCAGGAGCTGAAAAAGGAGTATAAACAGTAAGGGTAGGTGTAAGGAGCTGAAAAAGGAATATAAACAGAAACGGGGTAAGTGTCAGGGGCTGAAAAAAGAGTATAAACAGAAACAGGGTACGTGTCAAAGGTTAATGGAGTATAAACAGAAACGGGGTAAGTGTCAAAGGTTAACGAGCTGAAAAAGGAGTATAAACAGAAACGAGGTAAGTGTCGAAAGGTCTAAATATAAACAGAAACGGGGTAAGTGTCAAAGGTTAATGAGCTGAAAAAGAAGTATAAACAGAAACGGGGTAAGTGTCAAAGGTTAACGAGCTGAAAAAGGAGTACAAACGGAAACGGGGTAAGTGTCAAAAGGTGTTTATACATATAAACATACTGTAGACGTACTTTTTTCCACGGGGTCATAATTCCGCGGAATCTCAATTTCCGTTTAATCCGCGGGTTGAAAATTACGCGGATTTCTTAGACTGTCTCTATATGCCTTGCATTTATAAAAAGTACACTTGGACAAATTTCCGCGGAAAATTTGTGATTGCGTACATAGCATAAGTAAACACCACACGGAAAAAAGTACTTTTACAGTATATGGGGTAAGTGTCAAAAGATCAACAAGCTGAAAAAGGAGTCTAAACAGAAACGGGTAAGTGTCAAAGCTAGGTTAATTGAGTATAAACAGAAACAGGGTAAGTGTCAAAGGCTAAGGAGCTGAAAAAGGAGTATAAACAGAAACAGGGTAAGCATCAAAATGTTAATAAGCTGAAAAAGGGGTAAGTTGCCTTTGTTAGCCTATAAACAGAAACAGGATAGGTGTCAAGGGTGTTAACATATAAACAAAAATGGGTTAAGTGCCAAAGGTATTAGCCTATAAACAGAATAGAATAGAGAAAAAAATGATGATAGTAAAACATTAAGATTGCTTGTCTTGAAGAGAGATTTTAATTTTATTTTTGTAGCTGACCGGTTCCAGACAATATACTCTTCAGACAGTGATGATTCTTACTCAGATGGGGAGAAATCAGGGCGACTGATGAGGGCCAAGAAAGGCGGAAGTGATGAGGTAGGAAATACACTGAGTTTGGTATTTATAGCTCTCTAAGCACATTAACAGGTGGCACAGTGGTAGAGTTTCTGCTCTAGAGTAAGGACTTATCCTAACATTGCGGGTTTGAATCCCACTGTGGGACATGGTGACCGGTCCTTCGGATGAGACTATAAACAGAGGTCCTGTGTCATAGTCGATGCTGGCATGAAAAGAACCAGCCCTGACTGCCGATCATAGGTCAAAATTTGCAGCTCTCCACCAGCAGATGGCGGAGTCTCCATATGAATGAAAATTATTGAGAGGGATGTTAAACTGTGAACAAACAAAACATTAACAGACATTTTAAAACATTATTAGGTGCGTAAAGACAGTAGTTGCAGACTTAACTGTGATAGTAGTAGCAGTCTAAAATATTATCAAGTTACTTAAGATTAATGGGGATCTGACAGTATCACTCCATGCGAAAGATAGCACATCATCAGTTGAATATGTTTCTTTGTGCTGTATTTAAAATAGGTGGAAGGCAACAGATTGGATATTCATCTTTAATTTCTCTCATATTATGCTCTTTTCTCTGTGTTCAATGTTTAGTTATTGGTGAAATGAAATTTTAGTTATGCTGTTAACCTACACGTAGAATTATGAGTATATTCAAATAATTGTGGTGCCTCGCTTTTGGTGTCTTTGTGGCTGAGATGTCATTTTTTTATGACATATTGTGTCAAATATAAGCACCCTATCAGATGTCGTTTAAGCATTGAGTTCATATTTTGGGATGTCTTCGGTCCTGTAACACACCTGGCGGTGCCAACAAATTGAAAACTGCGCGTTTAGCGGGGTATGATAATTTGTCGGCATGGCCAGGTGTGTTACAGGAACGAAGACATCCCAAAATATGAATTCAATGCTTACATTTACATTCTCTAATTTTCCTTTATCATAATTGTTTATTTCGTTCATGTGTAATGTGAATTTAGCGCCCTTCGGTATTGGTGTGCTTAATAAACATAATAGCCCGTACGTAATGTTGGAATGCCGTTTGTGACGTTGGAAAGTTAAATAATGCAAATAAACATTGCGAGGGAAAAAAAATGACAAGTTAAGTTTTAATGCACATTTGTTGTATTTTATGTTAATTTTTTAAAGGGAAGTTTTTTTAAATGAAATTGTGTCAAAACAATATACATTTTAGTGTTCCTAAATATTGAAAATGCATGTAGTTCCTACTGTGTGTTCTACCGCACTGTGACAAGGTTTCGAGTGTGTTATAGAAATTAGAACGTCGTGGATTTCTAATGGATTTAATAAAGAAAATTACACTGAATGTGAATATATAGAAATTATCACCAAAGTTGAATTTTTTTTTAAAGTAAGGTCAATCATGAAGGTCAAGGTCAAGGAGTCAGAAATCAAAGCATGTTAGAAAATATATTGCACAGGTAATATCGTAATGCACATGTCAAATATGAAAGCCCTATCTCTTCTCAATCAAAAGTTATAAGAAAAAATTAACAATTTTGAAAAGTAAGTCAAACTTCAAGGTCAAGGTCACAAGATCAAAAATCATATGGTATTTAGAAAGGTCTTTCACAAGCAATACACAGTTTTAATATGAAAGCCCTATCTATTCTCCTTCAAAATTCATGACAATGTTTAAGTTTTTGAAAAGTAGGTCAAACTTCAAGGTCAAGATCAAGAGGTAAAAAAAAATATAGTGTTTTAGGAAGGTCTTGTCACAGGTAATACACATTTTAACATAAAAGTCCTATCGTTTCTCATTCAAAAGATATGTCCAAGGTTAAAGTTTATGAAAATTAGGTCAAACTTCGAGGTCAAGGTCACAAAGTCAAAAATCTTAGTGTATTAAGTAAGTTCATGTCACAGGTAATACACATCTCTAATATGAAAACCCTATCTTTTCTAATTCAAAAGTTATGGCCAATTCAAAGTAATGATTAATTTTATTTAAAATAGGTCAAACTTCAAGGTCAAGGTCATGGGGTCAAAAATCATAGCGTATTTGGAAAGGTCTTATCAGAGGTAATATACATGTGTGGTATGAAAGTCCTATCTCTTCCTATCAAAAGATATGACCAATGTTAACGTTTTTGTGATGGACAGACAGACCCACAGACTGACAGACGAATGAGATTTAATGTCCCTTTGCTTTCGCAAAAGCAGGGGACGATGAGCACACTCAACATTAAGCACAGTTTTCCCCTTCAGCTGAACATTGAGCACAGAATTCCTCCTCAACTGATCTGCACATTCATAATTAGAGCACTTCAGTCTTAAAATGACATGTATTAACATGCACAAATTAACAGAGAAGGAGCAGCTGAAATATTTATTATGTTTAATCTGCAAAATTAATAAAGATCTTCCATATACATGTGTATAGAATCAATTTATGGTTATTGAAAGCATTAGTTTCTGTGTGTTTATACATATATATTAAATCATTTTATTCATGCTCATGTGTATTGATTTCAAGTGCCCATATGGGCCTCTTGTTTGATGTATACCTTAGAATACTCATTGTTTGATGTATTTATTCCTGTGATTAGATAGAGAAGTCCTTGAACTATGTCCTGTCCTCTGACCTTGACTTCCTTGTAATACAGTAAAACATGGTTATAGCAAACATGTAACGCACGCCAAATTCACAAAAATGAGCTAAACTTAGTTTCACAGTTGATAAACTAGGTTTATTGACTGTAAACTATGAACTATAGTTAACAATTCGTTAACTATAGTTTTCATCTGTAAAACTATATTTAACGATTGTTAACTATAGTTTACGAATGCTAATCTAAGTTTATCTGTCTGTAATAAAAGTTAACGATAGATTTTGTCGATAAACATAGATTCACATCTGTAAACTATAATTTACAATCGTGAACTATAGTTAAGAGTTGTAAATCATAGTTTACAAATCATGAAACTATATTTATGAGATCGTTAACTATGGTTAAGAGCTGTAAACCATAGTTTACAAATCGTGAAACTGTATTTATCAGATAATCTATGTTTTGCAATCGCAAATGATTTTTTCAGTGCTATGTATAGTCTACAGTTCTGAAACATAGATTATCGTGTTAACTATGGTTTACAGATGTGAAATATAGATTAACATTGTAAACTATAGTTAACAGTCTGTAAACTATAGTTAACAACTGATAAACCTAGTTTATCGACTATGAAACTATGTTTAGCTCATTTTTTTGAATTTGGCATGCCATAAACATGCTTATAACAAATTTACACTTACATCAAAGTGATTTTCATTCCCTATGACTTAAGATTATATTGTAAACTTGATGAATGATATAACGAATAACTTTCACTTTAAACCTTACATTTAAAGTTCAGGATGTGCATAAATGATAATATATATTTTTTTGTGTAGCTGTATCTAGTGCTATAGCTGATCCTGAGCAATGTGCCAGCTAGGTCTTTCATAGGACAGGTGTTGTGTTGCATCATTCTTGATTTTTATCAAACTTTTGTTTTTCATCATATGCTACTTAGATTTTATTTTTACTAGGGATGTCAAATTGGTCAATTTTTGATAATTAGTTACTCAGACGATTTTCTGAACAAGTACCTGGGTACTAGGTAAATTTGTATATATATATAAAAATGTAAAAATATAAGTGTGTTAATTTTATTTAGACTAGTTAAGCCCTCATTAACCCCACCATTGATTTTTTTTTAACGTTTTATTGCTTGTAACAAAGTTAACATGGAGCCAAATGAAATTAATTTCTTGTTCTAAATTTATTTATCAAAAAAAAACCTTTTTTAAGTTAATTAATTATGATGCACACACAAAAAATAATACAATTCGTTTATTCATAGCTCTTATAAAGGGGAGGGGGGCAATATACAATTTAATATGGACTGTTTAGAAGGGAGACATCACCAATTTTCAGGTCTGAGTAGGGTTGTCACCAGAGGGCACTTCTAAACTCTAAACAGTCCATAATAGTTTTATTATCCTGAAGAATATAATTCTATTATATAGAGTGGGAAGTAGTAATTAATCAAACCTCTTGTTTCTCCTACTTTGCTATGACTACATACTTTCAAAATATGTCAACAGACAACTTTGACGTCATCGTTAGAATTTATTGTTTACCGATCCCGCATATTTAGCAATTGTGCATGTATAATTATTTATGAAGAGTTATCTCACTTAAACCACTGTATTTTCATTCAAAGGGCGGCAACACACTTGTAACTCTGCGTGCTCGTTTAGGCTATCTCATTGTCATCTGAAGGGTGACAACAGTTGTCACCCTGTGCGTGAGGGAGACATCAAGAATTGTCACACCTCACGTCACCTTTTGAATTTGACCTTTGGGGTTTGATCCACTTTTGCAAAAATTTACCCAACTTTAACCTTGGCCATAACTTTGAACAGTTATTGCTAGGGCTTACATTTTTCACATGTGTATTCATCATGATAATTAAGTCCTTTCCATGGATGTAAATATTTTTGACCTTGACCTTGCAGTTTGTCCTATTAAAAAAAAAAACTTCAACCTTGGCCTTAACTTTTGAACAGTTAGTAAAGGACTTTAAATTTTACAAATGTTGACCTTGAACTTTGAATTTACCTACTTTTGAAAAACTTTAATCTTTGTCATAAGTTGCCATACAGGGGCATCAGTGTTTCACAAACAGATTCTTTTTTAACAAAGAAATGAAACTTAAAATTGCCTTCCTCAGCTTCTGAAGTTCACACTGCACAGTTGCACATTACAAATGTAGATGTGGGTTAAATTGTCCTATTGACATATTTCTGGTTAGACTGTGTAACAAAAAGTATAAAAACAGCAATTATCATACATCATGTAAATATTCTGTAAATGTCAACCAATTAACTGTTAATCAATTAAGCAAATACTCTGCTGACCCAAAAAAGGTTGGTAGTTTGGTACAGCTGACATACAAGTGATCATTTCAGAGAAACACAGATACTCTGTTGGGAGGAGGGAGGCTAGGCAATAGAAGTATGAGAGTCTGGATGATTCAGAATTTCAAATGAAAAAAAAACAAATAATAAAAAAATGTCATTTTGATGAAGATTTCTTTTTCAGACTCTCGCTCTTTCTTTCTCTCTCTCTCCCTTGATATAGAATGGAAATTTCAATCCAATTTTACTCTGAAGTTATTGTGCTAAATATTTGGGACAGGTTTTCTCTGATGTTACCTTGCACTTTACTGGTACACTGTATACTTAAAAAAAATGGAATCATAATTCAGGGAGGGGCAGAATAATGTCTTTCACTATTTATATTGTACAACAAGATATACGATATAAAGTAAAAGTGGAGTACAGATACCCTTCAAGATAAGATCACCTGAGGAGAACTCAGTGCTCTAAAGGCAATGTCCTTCCTTGATAACACATTTCTCTCTCAGACAGAAGGTAGATGAACCTTTGACCTTGTTTTAGGACACTCAAAACATCAGCTAGTATTCCCTGTTGCCATGTAGAGGTTGATGTTTGATAAGAGTTAGTATTGATGATGTATTGTTTAGGTTGATATACTTTTACTATAACATGCTTAATGGAAGTCACAACTACTTTTCTTCATGTATTTTACAATCAGAATCTCAAAGAGCTGAATATCTCTAATTTTTTTTGTCCCATTGAGTTCATATACTCTAAACCAACTATTATTCAGGTCATCTTTTATTCACAATTCGTCAGTTTGAAATCAATCTGTGACAATTAAATTTTTGTAACTGAGGAAAAAATCTCTACAATTACTTATCAAAATTATTAGTTTCGGGGTGATTAATATTCACAAATAAAAGTAGGTTGCAGAACTCATGAATATTTCTCACACGTGAATAAAAGTTGGTTTACAGTATCAAGTTTTGACTGTATGTAGATTAAAATTCTTCCTTTCAACAACCGTTTGGCTACTGTAACTGGTCTTAAGTAGCCCCATTTGAATCAGCTCTCAATCTCTTGATGCAGTTCAGATACATTGTAAAAAATTCATTTGTCAGGTGAGCCTTGTGGCCTGTGGACCTTTTCTGCTGACTTTTTATTGTACCCTGTTTCTGTATATTATATAAATCACAGGTGTTATGAATCATCTCAGCATGCACAAAATTAAGTAATGTTTGTGTAACAAGGGTTTATGTTAAATAAGCATATTATTTTTATAATCACTATATATAAGAGGTAGAAATAATAGTCTTAAGTTTAGAATTTAGAACAAAGTGTCAATGATTATTTAACTTAAATCAAGAGGGAATTATTCAGATTTAAAAATTGCACATTTATTGAAATACACATGTTCTTTAAATTCCAGAGTAAGAATTTAGAACAAGTCCAAGAGAGACAAAGAAAACTGCTTCAATAAAAATCAGGAATCATCATAGAAAATAAATTAGGACAAACACATGTTTAACTTGAATTAAAATTTTAACCAGACTTAAAAAATCCATATTGGTATGATATGGAACATAATATCAGAGACAAGATAAAAGCGGTCTCATAGGAATTTAAACGTCTACATTGAAGGATCATGAACTAGAACATAACCTCTCAATGAATTGCTCAATCATCTCAGTTATGCAATACTGATTTAGGATAAGAAAGTATACTGAAAATATGTTTTTCACAGTTAGATAAATAAGGTTTGGGAATCCAAAATGAACATGAACACCCCCCCTCCCCCAAAAATGAATTGTCATTACTGTTATTTCATTTCACAAGAATTGTGAAGGACAGGAAAATTGGGCAATAAAATGCAGTATAACTTCCCTTCTTTGTAGTCTGGATACTGTCTTTTCTGTTTTCCATATGATTGTACAAGTATTGGCATTAGCTGCTAACAATTACCGGTACATGTACTACATGGTTATTACTGTGAAATGAACTAATTTTCTTGAAAGTTAAATTTTCATTGTTATCTTGGTATGGATAGACCTACAACTTATGCCCTCCAACAAATAAAAAAAATTCAAATGTATATCAACTTGATAAACAGTTTGTCAACCACAGAATAAAAAGCCGTATAAGAATGTTTCCTTGAACCATGAAAATTTGTCTAGATGAAAATACATGTATGTGATTCCCCCCCCCCCTCCCTCCTCAAATCTGGCCACACAATATAACCAGAGTCCATTGCAATGAACTTCAGGCATGGTAAATGTGTTGAATGTCTTTACATAGGTGCCATGTTTACAGTTTGTAAATCAGTCCTAGTCTTTGAATTTCATTCGGTCCAGATCAACTTCAATGTACACATAGTCAAATCTTGTTGTCTCAAAATTAATAATGCAACAGATTTTATTAAAAATTCATATGAAAAAAGTTCAAAATATTGAAGTTAAAAACAATTCTTTGAAAAGGGTGGTTGAGAATTCAATCCAAATAACTTGGAGATGTCCATGGTATTTGAGATAATTGTATGATCCCTTGAAAAAGTTTAATTTATTTAAACTTTGTCTTTGCAATGTTTTTTTAAAAATTAGATTATATTAAGAAAAGCTGGCCTTACATTGCTTGAATGTAATGCTGTTTTGATAATTTGTTGAAGGATTCGGAGGAAGAGAAAGGTCCTAAGAAAAAGAAAGCAAGGATTGTGGAGAGTGACAGTGAAGAAGAAGGGGGTGGGGCATCTCAAGAGGGGAGTGGCGCTCAGAGCGAGGGATCCAATAAGGGCAGCGATATGGAGGATGATTGACAGGTCATGTCAGAAGAGTAGGAGGAGCTTTAATGTGAAAGTCACCAACTTAAAGCAAGTTTGACTTTAGGCAGGCTGAAACATTTTCTAACAGGACGGTGGTAAAGTCAAAGTGCAATAAAAGGTCATAACTTTATGGCAGTAATGGTGTTTGCCTTAAAAAAGGTAGAAATTCAATCCATCAGAATTCTTTTTATAAAGCAATCCAAAAATGTCCATGTACATGCTTTACCATTTATCAAGAATTTTTTTTAGATCATGAGATAATGATAAACTATTCATGGCATAGCTAAATGCAACACATTTGTACATAAACAGGTGTCATATCATGTAAATAAATTCATGTCATGCATCAGTAATAAAACCAGGACAGCACATGATGTTACCCTTATCTATTCTTGTTGTGCCGGACACTACACTTCTTATGAGAATTGTTATCCTGTATCTAGTTCACCAAAGTCAGAAGGTCAAGTGAGAATATTTATATTTCATGTTAAATACAGTAAAACTTGGTTATAAGGAAGTCACTTGGCCTTATAAAATTACTTCGCTATATCTGTAATTCATTATATCCATATAAAGAATTCTTTAAAATAATATAGTTGGGGATCCAATATAACTTTGCTATATCCGTGAATTTGCAATATTCGTGTTGGTACTAAACAGTTTTACTGTATTCAAAGTTGACCACATGCTTTTTAAAAAAGGGTTTATAACTTAAAAAAAAACAAGATGTGTTTGTGATATGTACCCGGCGGCAACAAAGTTTGAAAAAGATATTTTTAGCATATAGGTTACAGTCAAGGTCACAAGGTCATTGACCTTGGTGTCATTTGAAAGAACTTAATTAGTGGAGCATGCACACTAAATATGAAGTCTCTATCTCCTATGGTTCAAATATTATGGAGAAGTTTCAAAAAGGCTATTTTTAGCAAATAGGTCACAGTCAAGGTCACTAAGTAATTGACTTCGGTGTCATATGAAGGAGCTTAATTAGTGGAGTGTGCATACGAAAAATGAAGTCTTTATCTCTATGGTTCAAAAGTTATGGCACAGGATTGAAAAAGCTATTTTTTTGCATTTAGGTCACAGTCAAGGTCACAAGGTCATTGACCTTGATATCATTTAAAAGAGCTTAATTTGTTGAGTATGCATACTAAATATAAAGTCTCCATCTCTCATGATTCAAAAGTTATGGCGATGGTTTAAGTTTACAGACAGTCGGGACAAAAACAATATGCGCCCTCTGATCTATCGATCCGGGCGCATAAAAATCATAGAAATTGTGTAAAGAAAAAATTATAGATGAAAATATAATTGAAACAATTTCATTAATTCAAACTGCTTGGTAATTTAAAAGGGATTTTATTTTGTGAAATTTTTAAGGAATACATGTATATACTCACAAAGTGAGGTAAATGGTTACGAAGTAAATTTTTATTTACATTGTGTATAATAGTGTCTCATTCATTAAATGAGTTGCTCTCCTACCATATCAATCTGTGATGAACCAAGTACGCTTCTACTTTTATGTGCCAACTTAGTTTTAATAGAAACAAGACTATTGCATTATTTAAACTGAAGTAAGGAAAAATGGCCCCAGGCATGATGCTTGGATTGAGGTTAAATGTACAAGTTAGGTCAGTTCAGCTGCCTGTATGACAAAATAACTTGGGGATAAGATCAAAAGGTACTTTTGCAATCTATATTAATCTTTACCTTAAGTAAATTGTGATTTCAAGTGACCAAAAAAAGAAGACATTATATTTTAAATATATTATTTGATCTTAACAAATAAGTTACTGAGATTTTCAAAGCTATCTAACAGTTTTAGAACTAATCCCAGGTTAATGTCAAAAAATATTTTTGCCAAACTCGTGTTCATACTACTTGAAGCACAACTGTGACAATGTATATTTAAATGAACTTTTATAACTAAATCTAAAACTCAAGCCCATACAGTTTAAATTGAATAATTTATTCATTTAAATTTCAAAGCACCTTTTTAGAAAACAGACTTCTTCTGGAAGTATAATGTACATGTACATAGTTTCCATTTTAAATAAATAATATACGTAAAATTATAAGTTCATCGGATTGCTAAGTAAATAGCCCATTTTCACACAATCATACCTTTAGTGTCAATAAAGTATGAATGCCTAAGATAAGAATCAAAGTATACTCTCCCCAAATTTTATATTTTTTTTTATTTTAAAATTGTGTATTCCAAGATGCGTGAAAGAACAAAATTGTGACACTGAAGTAAATATTTCAGTATGCCGTAATGACATTTCATCTCCTAGTGACCTGTTTTTCGTGAAACCAATGCCCAAACTTTAAATTAGATATATGCTCATTACTGACTTGTATTTAAAAATAAAAATGTTTATATTCAACTAAATTAAACAAAAAAAATAAATCTAAATACTGATGCTCAATGTAATGGTTGCATTTCAACTATTTTGCAAATTTTCTCAAGTGAAAAATATGGAGATAATGAAAGTATTCTAGCATACAAAATAGGAGCAGAAAAAACAAAGTAAAACAATTCCAAAATAAGTTATAAGTGTCAATAATTTTCATTTGAAGATAACTGTTAAATTAAACACTAATATAGCAGTATTATTGGATATTAAACACAGAGGAGACAGATTCAACAGAAATATACTTTTCACAGACTATACTTAACTAATTACTTAAAAATATAATACAAATACCCGTAATATGTTAAAATTTTACATTTGAAAATATTAAAATTCATTTCAACCCACAATGACAAACATTTCCATAATTCTATGAATGTGACTGATTGCATTGAAGAAAAATCTATTCTGCCATTTGTGCGGGGGGCTTTGTCACATAGTAGATGGGTACTCTAGCAGCATGTGGCGTAGTTTTGTGGCTACCCCAGCAGTACGCTGCGTAGTTTTGTGGCTACCCCAGCAGTACACGGCGTAGTTTTGCGGCTATCCCAGTAGTATGCGGCATAGTTTCGCGGCTACCCCAGCAGTACGCAGTGTAGTTTTGCGACTACCCCTGCAGCATGCGACATATTTTTGCGGCTACCCTAGCAGCACACGGCGTAGTTTTGCGTTGGCCACTTCCTCCTCGTCTGTTTCCGTGTCACTGCTGCTGTGATACACGGCCGGTGACGTTCTACATTGGGGGGAACACAGGTACTGTAACAGGGGGAGGCGGTATTTCCCACAAAAGTCTACAAACTTCACATGTTCAATCCGGGATGTAAAATACACACCTGTAAAAAAAAAAAGGAATCAACTTTCAGTGACTAAATATGTGTACATTCACATCTGCTAGGTTTTAATCTCTAACCATTATTTACCTTTGCATTTGGGGTTCACACACCTCTGGGCTGACCCAAGATATTTCCGTAGGTTGCTAGGGAGATCGTCTTTGGCGTACTTGACTTTTTCTATTTTGATCACTCTCCCTGATAGCTCCAGTAGAGTGGGGGGTTCGTAAGTCATGTCTTGTACAAATTTGTTCACAAGGGGGTTATTCCTGAGACTGAGTTCTGACAGGTTGAGTCTCACAATCTCGGGAGGGAGGGTTGAGATCTGGTTGTTGTGCAGACTTAGTGACTGTAAATTTCGGAGGTGGATCAGTGTTGGTGGAATGCTTTGAATTTGATTATCACACAGAATTAAACATGAGAGGTAATAGAGCTGTCCTATTTCTGCCGGGACCTCCGTTAGACGATTTCCACCGAGGTACAATACCTCTAGCCTGAAAAAAAAACAAGAAAATTGTTAAACTTGCATATGCATGTAAATGAGTTTTTTTTATGTTGGAAAAATGGTTAAAAAGCAGTAAATTTTAAAGCAATATATATACCAATTTCAGATGAAAGTATTGCAAATTCATGGATATAGCAAAGTTATCTAGGATCCCCAGCTTCTGTATATTTTAACAAATTCTTTACAGGGATATACAAATTATGGGTATAGCAAATTAATTTTATAGGTCCCAGTGACTTCGTTATAACCGACTTTCTCTGAATAATATAAATATAAATAATATCATTACATTTATAAAAAATTATATCATTCTTTAATGGGACAAAATATTCGAAATTAAAAGCATCATATATATTTTTATACACTAGGCCTAATGATTCATTGCTTTTGGAAGCACTTTATCATTTCTTGGTGTAACAAAAGGTGAAATTTGTTTTTGAGTTTGACAGTTGTCATCAGCACACTGCCTCAGGCAATCAATCATATGAGAAAAGACAAAAACAAAACTGTACTTTGTACCTTTGTAAGTTTTTGATAGAGTTTGGCATTTCTGCTATACAATTCCCACCCAGGTACAGATACCGTAGATTTGGAAGTTCTGTAAACTGGGGTGGGAACGTTTCCAGAGAATTTCCACTGAAGTTCAGAAGCTCCAATGATGACAGCAGTCCAAAGTCCTTAGGAATAGAGGCACAAGATAATCCATTGCTTTTGACTAGAAGTGTCCTTAAGCACTTGAGACTGATTAACTCTTTAGGTATATGAGTTAGATGATTATTACTGAGATCAAGAGAGAGCAAGTTCACAAACAAAGATATGGAGGGTGGGAGCAGTAAAATCTCATTATGGTTCAGTTTGAGGGAGAGGATCTCTTTGGCACGGGGGATCAGGTTATCCGGAATAGTAGAGAGGTTACTGTAACTGGCATCCTCCGAATTCCGGCTGTTTAATTCACTGTCTGAAGCATCACTTAAATAATCTGCCATGATGTTAAGATCAGCTGATCACACGATGTGTAAAAATCAAACAGCTGTAGGAATCCAGCTCACTTGGCATAACAGTGCAGAATATGCAACTACATCCAGTTAATTTAACTGTTAAATATCTGTCAAAATATTTCGCACCATTGTTCCACTTTGTGGACACGATGTATGCCCAGGCCTGGGGAGTCAATCCGTTGTGTTTACTAATTGACCCTTTTCGTAAGCATGTGCTCGACTCTGATTGGTTAAACGTCTGGGAACCAGTTTACTTATGATCAGGCACCTTGGTCGTGACCGCATTATGTAATAATTAGGTATGTTCTATATATCTGTCTCCAAGATTCCACCAAAAAATGTCTGGTTGAGCGAGACTAGTGCGATAGCGAGGAACTCCGAGTGGGTCGTGACCCATTATGTAATAATTATTTATATTACGCATTATGTAATAATGAGGTGATATTGTCATAAAAAATGTTGATCGATAGCTAACCGGGCAGCCAATGATTTATTTACGCTGTAATATGTCAAAGATGTAGACAGATAGTAGGATTTCCTGTGATTTCTTAGGGAAAAGGAATGACAACACTGGATAAAACACACAGGCGCGGATCCAGGTTTTTTTTCCAGGGGGGGGGGGGGGCAACCCAGGCAAAAAAAAAAAATCTCCAACCCAAAAATTTCTTGACAAGAAAAAAAAAAAAAACAACACTTTAATTCTTTCCCAAACATATAATTAAAACTTATT